ATAATAATAATAAATAGAGTAAAATGATAACAGTAATAAAAAATTAATAATAAGCTGAAAACACCTCGAGGGAGGACCAAAGTTTGCCCATGCCTGAGTTAGACCCTTTACCAATATATACCTGCACATGCAGGCAATGGAGACTATAAGCCAACAAGTAAATACATTTCCTTATACCAGCTCAGGCCTACTTACCTCAGGATATCACCGTACAAATTGGGCATCACAAGGACATCAAACTGTGTTGGATCCTGCACCATCTAAGATACAGGAACAGAAAGGTTGCTATTTGCATGTCCAGCCGACATATTTATATCTAACACCCTTATTGTGTGCTTCGTATATACTCACATTCAGACACACAGTGTCGAGATACATTTCATTAAATTTAATATCTTTACAGTTTTCGGCCGCTTCTCTGCATTTCTTCAGGAACAAGCCGTCAGACATTCGCCTGTGCGTGAACAAAAATATGGAGGATATTAAGGATCCAAAATAAATCAGAAGCATATCCAGAGATGAGGAGAGGGATAGGATTTACTTCCACAAGAATATGTAACGACAGGCTTCATGTTTCGAGCTGGGACACAAACAGTGTATTATATGGACTTCTTCCAACATATTTTTCCCATCCTAAACTGAAAGCCTAACCCCGCTGTTCATCTTGTTTGGCTCCTCTCAAATGCACTTTTTCTACTCCTACCTCATCCAGGGTTTGATCATTAATACATCAAATGTATTAATAATATTAATATAGTAAAATATTAAATGTAGTAACAATAATAGAGTAAATTAATAAATGTAATAATAATAGAGTAAAATGATAAAATAATAATAATAATAGAGTAAAATAAGGGAAATGTAATAATAGCAGTCATAATAGAGTAAAATAATAAATGAATCAATAATGTTAATACAGTAAAATATTAAATGTAGTAACAAGAATAGAGTAAATTAATAAATGTATTAATAATAAGAGTAAAATAATAAATGTAATAATAATAATAAATAGAGTAAACTGATAACAGTAATAGATAATGGAAATGTAATAATAAAAATAATTATAGAGTAAAATGATAAATGTAATAAAAATAATAGAGTAAATTAATAAATGTAATAATAATAATAATAGAGTAAAATGATAAAATTAAAATACTAAAAGAGTAAAATACTGTAAATGTAATAATAACTAATAATAGAGTAAAATAATAAATGTATCAATAATACTAATACAGTAAAATATTAAATGTAGTAACAATAATTGAGTAAATTAATAAATGTAATAATAATAAATAGAGTAAACTGATAACAGTAATAAAAATAACAATAGAGTAAAATAATGGAAATTTAATAACAGTAATAATAGAATAAAATAACAAATGCAATAACAATAATAAATAGAGTAAAATAATAAAATAAAATAATAGAGTAAAATAATGGAAATGTAATAAGAGTGATAATAGAGTAAAATAGTAGATGTGATAATAACAATAAAATAAAATAGTAAATGTAATAAGAATAGAGTAAACTAATAAGTGTAATAATAATAGAGTAAAATAAGGTAAATGTAATAATAATAATAAATAGAGTAAAATAATAAATGTTATAATAATAATAGAGTAAAATAAGGTAAATGTAATAATAATAGAGTAAAATAATAAATGTAATAAAAATAATAAGAGTATAAAGATTAATAACTTTGATTCGAGTATGAGCCGAGGGGAGCTTTTTCGGCCTAAAAAAAGGGCTGAAAAACCCAGCTTATACTCGAGTATATACGGTAAGTGTTTTTCCAAAAAGGAAAGTAAATGAATAAAATCTAAACTTTGGGCAAAACTTGGCTGATCAAAAGCTTTATCAGGCAGGGCAAGAAGAAAACAACTGTCAAAAAGTTACAGAGTTAGGGTGACGTACATAATGTTTGCTTTATGCACTGCCGTCACTTTGCTTCTCTGATTGTTTCTGGCGTATTCAAACGCAAAGTCGGCAATACGCTTGCTGGCGTCTTCGGTGATGAGTTTGATACTCTGGACGACGCCGTCAACAATCTGGAAAGCACACACCGGAGTTATGAGAGTTATATAAAACTGAGTTACTTAAAAAACAAACAACAGCAATCATGCCTGCATACATTAAAATTAAATACAGCTCACATTGGTGTTAATTTAAGTGTTTTCTGCCCAGATAATGTGCATTACTTGTTGGGGGAACTAGGGAGGGAATGGTTTAGCTTGCTGCTGTTTAGGAAACCATACCACATGCTCGATCCCACTGTATTCGCCCTCCGTGTTCTCTCGTATCGTGACGATGTCAACATCGGCGTAGGGAGTTTTGTAGCCTTCGATAGACACGCAGGGGCGGATATTGGCGTAAAGGTCAAAAGTTTTGCGGAGCAGCAGGTTCATCGATGGGTGGCCGGCCGCAATCGGTGTTTTCAAGGGGCCTGCGATCGAGACAGAAGACCAGAGTTAAGAAAAGCATTATTTGCCACCAGAGTCAAATCTGTGATCTGAGAGGATGAAGAATTTACTTATGACTGAGTTTATACACAGCCAGAGCACAATCTAGAGAAAATGTGCAAAACCACATATAGATACACAAACACACATATATGCGTATACACACACAAAACACATACACAGAAAGGGTGAAGAAAGGAG